ATAGTTGAGACCTACTGTTATTTGTTGAACGATTTGAAGGGCTGGGTGGCGGTTTTCGTGTCCAACGTCGGCGAGAATTGAGCCAGCGCAGGAGGCACTTTGAGGCGTTGGTACAAGATAGGTTTTTGATGTTGCAAGTGAACATATGCTAGCCATTTGACAAACAGAAGAAGTCACGGCTCAGTCGAATGTCCTGGCCTGTAATTGCAAGCCCAAGTGGGCGGTCAAAGCTGTGCACAAAATACCATGGAAGATACGTACCCATGCCAGATTTCCTTGGAGTTGCCGCAAATAGCGACTTCTTGGTTGTCTTCCCTTGCTTGGTAGTCGCGAGGCAGCCGGCGCAGGCTTCCTTGATGATATCTCTTTTGGAGGCCACTTGACCAATATTCCAGAGCCAACAGGTTGATACCCATAAAGCGGTATCAATGAGTGCGGCCATGGAGACGAGCCAGTCAGCATACAGTCGGATCATAGGAAACAACGAGAGCAGCTGGATTCGGAGATCAAGCGCCCAGCCATGGGAAATGTCAATCTAAACGTTGTCGGTGACTAGACGTAGAGACCAAGATGTATCCTAGGCTGGACCCGCTAATGGACACAGTGAGCTCGATGGCTAATAAAGTCGCGTTACTCAACGTGATGGACAAAGCTACACCTGGTGCGAAACAAATGATTCTCTGTAGCACATCGGTATTAAGCATTGCATGCGCTATGCACGAAACTGATTGGTGGCACGACCTACCAAAGTTCGTCAAGTCCAATTCGACCGCAGAATGCGTGCATTTGTCATAGCGAATAGAGGTCCGAGACCTTGTGACCAAGAAGATATTTTTGAGGATTTTTTTGCCACAATTGAGGATACTATTTGGGAGTGGTCGAAGAGATGACCAAGGTTTGTGACCAAACAACGCGCCCACGGGATGCACTTTAAACCATACGACAATGTTGGGCAAGTTTTGCCCGGCTGTGGAAATCTAATACTCCCGACAAGCTGTCGTTAAGACGAATTTCGATCCAAGACCAGCAGCTCATAAGAATATGTTCTCTAGACGTCTCGTACTACTCAGTTATTGAAACTATTGGATTATCAACAGATTCCTCTCAAAACCGCAACGATATCAATTCATTTATCCCCTGTTTGTGGAACCCAGTGGGTGGTGGAGTTGCAAGAACAAGACGCAAATCTATCAATAGCCAATGACGGTCGAGTTCCTGTCTCTTATGATCCTCATGATCCCTCACAACTTGAGCCCAAAAATTTATCAATTTGTACGTATTCATTGAGCAATACATATTATTTACGAGATGCCAATAGCCGATACCCATCCTTTTCCCGGCTATAAGGTCACCATCACTAGTTCGTCTGCCCTGTCGCCGACTCGACAAAGCGGGCCCATCGTA